CTAATAAACCATCTTGTTAGTCTTTAAAGTGCTACATTGTCCTGCATTTTGCTTCAACTACCCCAGACTAACACGGCTACATTTCTATCACTATTCAGCAGAAGTACTCTGAGAGGTTTCTGTTCACACCAGAAGTGCTAGAAGTAAGTTTACAGTACAAAGGCACATGAGAACCTCAGTGAGGAGCCTACAAGGCAAACTGTGACAAAGATAAGGATTTACATGACAAATTGTGACAGACTAGGAGTCTCCATGAAGTTGAGATAGGAGGCATTGGAAGGGTCTTGATTAGAGTTAAGATGATTTCTCTCTGATACAGGGAGAAAGGCCTGGAAAACTTTTAACTCTTACTGCAGTTTTCTTTTAGAGAGTTTTGATTTCCTGCACAGTCCCCCCTTTGACACAACTGGAGTTATTGGATTTTTCTCCCACAAATGTAATGAGTGAAGTATGAATGCTGGTGCATAGGTCTGAGACTTGAGCTGGTCCCAGCTGCACCAGAGCTGTGAACGCAAAGGAAGGTGGTGGGGGGGAGGGTCCTCTGAACCGCGAGACTCAGCAGATATGTGCGGGAGTGACGACTCCCCTTATTTCACGAGCTGCTAAGGTTTGACATTCTAGACCCAGCAGACTCTTTCTTTAGAGTGTGTAGAGTTAGTTTAGGTGGGGGTTAGTCTAAACACCCTCCACACTGCCAAAAGGCACCCCTGTGTACTACATGTACATGCATAATGGTCCAAGGACCTGTAAGCATTTAACAAATTTGAAAAGAAGAAAAATTAAAGCCTGAGGGATAAAAGTAAAGCTCAGAAAAGCAAAAATCCTCCCTGCAGTAAGATATGTAACTTAAGTTGCTGCAGCGCCTCTGTGCCAAAATAATGCACAAGAAGTTGGAAAAAAAAAGATTTCTCAGTTAGCACACCCGTATCAACCAAGCTTGGCGGGTGGGGGAGAAATCTGGCACAACATCACCCCTCTATCCCTCTTTATAACGCATACACAGATAGAGAGGAAACATGAAAAATAACTGAAAGGAATTAGCTTTTCCCTTTGAAAAACACCAGCTCCTGTAACAAACTTGCCTGCAAAACACCAAGTGTAAAATAAGTTTAACAGTTTAAGGGAAGTGTTCCTCCAAATCCTAAAGAAGAAAAAAATTAAGCAATATTGTAATGTGTAAGGAAAAAAAACTGCTTTAAGAAATGACTCCTTGTTTCTTGTAGTCTTTTTTGGTCATCTCAGCAAAGAAACAGTCAAGTTAAACATTTGGCTACATAAAATAAGTTTAACAGTTTAAGGGAAGTGTTCCTTGAAATCCTAAGGAAGAAAAAAATTAAGCAATATAGTAATGTGTAAGGAGGGAAAAAAAACTGCTTTAAGAAATGACTCCTTGTTTCTTGTAGTCTTTTTTGGTCATCTCAGCAAAGAAACAGTCAAGTTAAACATTTGGCTACAGACACTTTGTTAAATCTATTAAAGGGAAAGTAAGGAATTCTACTGAAACTTAATTGGTTAACTGCATAAAAGAATAGAACCTATACATTGTAAATTTGTAAAACCTGCACCCTAAGGGTTAAATGTGTCTTCCAAGGAAACTAATTATTGTTTAAAAAAATCCAAGCCCAGAAACTTCACTGTATTTCTGTTCAAGGCTGAGTTGATAGCACTTTTGGCTTGCTTTCAGATCCAAGGTTGTGTGTGTCTGCAAACTGCCTGTCTGTTCTGGAAGGGGGGAAGGCACTGTCCCTCATAAGTAAGTCTGTAACATTGCATGTGATTCTTTTCAGGAAAAGAAAACCTTTTTGCTTGCTAGAATAGTAACTAGCAAGCACCTTGTTCTAAGAAAGAGTTTCTGTGGCAGTAAATTATTTGAAGCTTCACATAAAAAAAATAAAAAAGCCTGGTCTGCAGTACAAGAGGAAAACTGAGGCATGTCACTGTTGGGGAGGGCTAGCAACTCTGAGGTAATTCAAGGGAGTGGAAGGTCACGAGTACCGATGAAGCGCCCTTGTTCTCAGAAAGTTGCAGCTCACTTGCCCATAGAAGTGGTAAGGAACTAGCTGTAACTGGTTCCCCAAACAGATCTTAAGCAGTATTTTAAGTTATAATAGGCCACCCCAATGGGGGTACAAGTGTTTTCTTTGTCTTTCAGATCATCAAAAAGCACTAATATCAGCTGAAAGTTAACTGAAAAAACCAAACAAACCATGGTTCTGTGTCATGACATAATAAGTTTGTGTTCTGTGTTCTGTCCAGATTTGTATGTGGGTCTTGATTTTGCTATATGTATTTCAAACATTGTTGTGTGTACAATATTGTTGTTTTAGTGAAAGAATAATTAAAGTCCCTTGAATAATCTTAACTTTGTGCTTTACACAAACGGTTCTTGCTTTTACAATTCTAGTGGAGTTTTAGTAGCAGGCTATGCAGTTTGTATTGTCTAGAATGTAGTGCAATCTGCTCCTCTACCTGCTGTTTTTCCCTTCTCTCCTATCATTGCCAGCTCCTACGCCATCTCTGTCAGAACTGGCCCTCCTGCGAGACCAAGCCCCAGAATCAGAAAAGCAGGAGTGCTCCCTAAATTGTCACACATTGGCAAAAGGGGGGATGGTAGCAACCCGAAAACAAAATTGGTTTGCTCCTAAATTCTCCCAAGCAGCCAAAGATTACTGTCTGGCTTGCCCTGTCTGCCAAGCCCACAACGTGAGTAAACCTGTAAAGACAGTTCTGGCAACCAGACCTTCACCTTTAGGACCATTTCTGAATTTAAAAATGGACTTTATTCAATTGCCTAAATGTCAATCTTTTGAATAATGTGCTGGTTATTGTTTGCTTGTTTTTGAGATGAGTAGAAGCTTATCCCTGCAGGAAAGCAGATGCCATCACAGTGGCAAAGAAACTTCTAAATCATTACATCCCATCATGGGGAATACATCTTGTGATCTCCAGTGATAGAGGTACCAACTTTACTGGACAAATTGTTCAAAAACTGGCAAAGTACTACTCTTTCAGACAAGCACTGCACTGTGCGCGACACCTGGAGAGCGCAGAAGCAGTAGAAAGATGAAACAGGATTTTAGAGAACAAACTTGCTAAAATATGTGAGAACTCTGGTTTAACATAGGTAGAAGCACTTCCGAATGCCCTAATGAGCATGAGAGCCACTCCTAATAAAAAAACTGGACTCAGTCCATATGAAATTGCATGTGGCCGACGTATGAGATTGTTAAGCAGCCCAGAAATTGACTTGGCTGATGCCACACTTATTAAAGGAAGCACAGTCAAGTATTGTCAAGAACTTATGAGGTGTGTACAGTCTTATCATTCACAGGTTAAAGACGCCTTCCAGGAGGCCCCGACTGAGCCGGGCCATAAACTACAACCAGGAGACTGGGTTTGCGTGAAAGTTCACCCTCGGAAGACTTCCCTGGAACCCAGGTGAAAGGGTCCCTACCAAGTCCTTCTTACCACTTATACTGCTGTAAAGAGCGAGGGATTGCCCGCCTGGATTCACGCCTCCCACTGCAAACTGGTTCCTACAGAGGTTGGCCCCAACAAGGAGCACCGCGGACCTAGTACCAGAGACCCAGGTCCAGAAGCAGACGGGGATCAACGCAGGCTTGGTACCGGCAATCCAGGCCCAGAAGCAAACGAGCCTGAGAGACCAAGGCTAAGGTACCAGCTGCGGCCCAAAAGAACCTGCCAGCGTTAGGTGAAGCAAACTACGAAGTCCTGAAGAACAGCCAGCATGAGGCTGGACAAACAATTCATGTTAAGCTCATGCTTAATCTTGTTTTTAATACCTAGCAGTTATAACCTATATGGTTCAAATGTGTTGATGCTTTTAATGAACCAAGTTTCCCAAGAATTTAATTCCACAGGTTGCTGGATATGTGCTCACAGTCCTGTACATTCAGAAGGAGGCATCCCAATGATTCCAGTCCCACTAAACAACACTCAAATGAATGGCACACTGTTTAGTGAACTAAAGCCAAATGATACTTGGCAGGATAAAGGGTTTACTAACCCAGGGTATATCCGCCTAGCCTTGACCCCAATTGGAAAGTACTGCTGGACATGTAATAGTTCAGGAGCCAGGGTAGGAATAAGCGAAAACGGAATGGCCCTAGACTACGTCCTAGCAAATAAGGGCAGGGTTTGTGCCTTAGTAGGAAGAGAATGCTGTGTGTATATCACTGACACCAGCAAGGAAGTAGAGGAAGATGCCTCAGAAATTGAAAGAACTGTAGAAAGCCTAAGACAGGAGGAAAACTGAACCCTTTAGGGTTAGTTGAGAAGCTAGTTTGGACATGTGAAAACTTAGATTCTGCAAGGTGTAGTTTTAATATTAGCTATATTCTTTTGTGTTTATTTTTGTTTCTTGTTAATCAAATGCTATATTTCTTGTATTCTAGAAAACACAAGACAGACCCTTACCAATGGGAATGTAGAACTCATGATATTAAAATATGATGAGCAAGAAATGTATATAAAGGCTTTGATGGAAATGGAGGCATGAAATGGCTTCAAAGTTAGCCTTTAAAAGGCTAAAAGGGGGGATTTGTAGAAACCATTTAGCTAGAAGCCATTCATATTTAGCTAGAAGCCATTCTGTATAACAAAAGCCATTTCAGTTTCTTGTGTCTGCACGTACACTAGAGGGAGTGAACTGGCCTTCACCGAGGTGGGGAGAGGTCCGAAGGATGCACTGTTGGAATGTGTTAATGAACTATTTTGAGCTGAAGCTCGAACTCCCTCTAAACCTGTTTCTTTCTCTGCTGATAATAATTCCTCTTTGAAGTTCGCTTTGATTTCTTGCCCTGACGTCAGACTTGTTTGGTTAAGGGTATAAAATACTAGGATTGATTGTATTAGCCAGCCTTACTGGGCCCGGCTTTGCTAGGACCACGTTTGGCTCACTTTGCTTTTATTGGCCAATAAAACTGTCTGTTTAGCCGCGTAAACCGAATGAGGCTTTTGCTTCGACACTAGTGTTTCTCAAACTGGGTTGTGACCCCCCAGGAGGGTCATGAGCAGCTTAGAGGGGGGTTGCAGCTGGATTGGGCTTTTCAGGTCACGCTGATAGTGTCGGTGTTCTGGGTTCTCTAACGAACTCGAGGCTAGCATTACAGCCACCATATGCAATGGCACCTCAGCAGGGTTTTGTGGGTCTGAGGCTGACGCTATGGCTGCAGTCCGCAGCGCCGCCTCAGCACTTCCCAATCTATCCAAGGTTCATTTTAAAGCATGCCAAAGCGTTCCAATTACCTTCTCTGCTTGGTAAGTATCAGGACCTATCTTTTTTTTTTGTTTTCTATTCTCCAGCAATTCACCTAGGGTATGGATTAAAATACTATGTTTAGCAGTGCCAAAGGGGGTTTTTGGTCTAAAGTCAGTAGGTTTTGAAGGGTGTCCTACTTTCTTTAGTATTTTTTAATAGAGCTTAAAATATTTTCATTGCCCCCAGCTTTTATTAACTCTGGTCCTTCGCTTTCATTTATGGGGTAGAAGGAGAGATGGGGGGTTCTGAGTAACAAGCATCCTAAGCCCTCTGTGGTTACCTGTACCTTCCAGACTTTTGCTTCTGAACCAGTCCCAATGGTTAAGTTAAGCTTTTGAACTAAATCTGGGGGGCTTCGGTTTTATTCAAGTTGGTGGAAGACAATATGCTGATACAAGTCTTCCATAGACTGGTTGCCTTTTCCACATCTCCAAGGACATAAACCACATCCTGTTCATGACGCCATGTGGCTTAAAGTAAAAGGTTCGGAAATGTGGCTAGTCCCAGGAAGGCGCAGAAACAGGCAAACTATTACTAAATATCTTTTAAACTTTTATTAAAGGGCTTCTACGTATAAATTATGATTTTATCAATTTCTTACATACGTAGGCACTAAATAATTATTAGAATGTCCAATAAGCAAAATGCAATACAGTGAAGAAAATTCTTTGAGGTTTCTCTAAATTCCAATAGTTGTTAACAAGGGACTAGGGATTATTAACAGTTACATTTACATCAGTCTTACTTATAAGACTAATCATTTATCTAAAACTTTTAACACTACTACTTAACAATACCTCTAAACAATTTCAGATAACAATACTTACATTTAACAGACACACAAACTACAACAACAACATATTTGGTATTCGTTATGTTTGGTATACGTTACGCTCTACAGGAACTCGTTTGGTTCGGTGAGCGGGAGGTGGCCCTCGGGTGATCAGTCCTCAGACCTGGCTCATATTCCGCCATCCAATGTTTATTCGGGATTCCTCAATTTGATACAGGAGGGGAAGCTGTTTTATAGAGAAAGCTTTTGCACACTTTTTGTGATAGGCTAGCAGACCCTGTCTGTTAAGCTACAGGAGTAAGGGGGTGAGATGGTTTCCTGTTTTTCCTTTTCTGCCTTATCGGGCATGGCACAGTCAGCACAACCAGCACAAACTTTACATGAACTTTTCAGGTCTGGTTTTGGTTCCTGTTCGTCGCTGATCTTTAAGTTACAGGCAGTCCCCGGGTTACGTACAAGATAGGGACTGTAGGTTTGTTCTTAAGTTGAATCTGTATG